AGGGAGGGAGGGAGGGAGGGAGGGAGGTTCTTATGACCCCAAAACTAAGTCCTAGAATAGACAGAAATATGTTGTGCTTCATTAAAAACTATCCGGAGGATACTGGTGGTTCTTACTTGTAATCCTAGCTACTCAGGAGTCTGAGATCTAAGGACAAAGATTAGAAGCCAGCCCAACATAAAAGACAATAGAAAATAATAGTTTCTCAGACTCCCATCTTGTAAGTCTGGCTAATAGAAGTTAAGAATCTCACAAATTAAAGCCCCAAGGTGGAACTGTGGCTTAAGTGGAGCACTAGCCTTGAGCAAAAGAGATAAAGGACAGCATTCAGTCCCTGAGTTCAAACCATTGTACTGGCATGCACAGAAACGTGTGCTTGAATGCATACACATGCCTACACATAAACATACAAACTCCTACCTTACTATCAACCAGCCACAAGTATCTCCCACCTGAAATCTTAACTACTGTGGAAGCTGAGACCTGGAGAATCAAGGATCAAAGCCCAAACAAAACAAACAAAAGTCCATGATACCCAATGCTGAACTTGAGTGTTAGAGTGCCAGCTATGAGCAAGAAAACCAAGTCAGAACACAAACCCCAGAATTTAAGTCCTGGTGCTCACACAAAATAATAATAATAATAATAGACCCACAACCAGTTGCCAGTGGCTCACACCTATAATCCTAGCTATTCAAGGGGCCGAGAGCTGAAGATCAAGGTTCAAAGCCAGTCAGGACAGAAATGTCCATGAGATTCTTTTTGTTTGTTTGTTTGTTTGGCCAGTCCTGGGACTTGAACTCCTGGGCACTGTCCTTGAACTTCTTTTGCTCAAGGCTAGCACTCTACAACTTTTTCTTTTTTTGGTCGGTCATGGGGATTGAACTCTGGGCCTGAGCACTGTCCCTTGAGCTCTTCAGCTCAAGGCTAGTGCTCTGGCACTTGAGCCACAGGGCCACTTCTGGCTTTTTCTGTTTATGTAGTACTGAGGAATTGAACCCAGGGCTTCATGCATGCTAGGCAAGCACTCTACCACTAAGCTGTGGTTCAAATGGTAGATTGCTAATGTTGAACAACAAAGACAGGATCAGGGCCTAAGCTCTCAGTTCAAGCCCAAGAACTGGCAAAAAAAAAAAAAAGGTCAAAAATACTAATGCATCCTTATTTTTCTGTTTTCAATACAGATCTTAGAAAGAACCAGCAGCAGTAATCAGCAACTAGAACTCAGACCTCCACAAGACACTGATTTTTGTTGTTGTTGTTTGGGGGGGGGGGTGGAGATTGGTTTTAGATGCCAGAACTAGAACCACATGTAGGTAAGCACCCTACTACTGAGCTATACCCCCATCCCAGTCTTCCATGAAAAAGCAAAATATACATGAAACCACTTTTCATTTTCCAGAGATTCATATATAATCACAGTAGACTTTTTTTTATAAATGTAGCAAAGCAGCAACACAAATATTTGCAGGATAATAGTACACGAGATACTTCAATTGAGTTAAATTGCCCATTAGTGTAGACTGGCAAAAAAAAATCAACAACAGAAAATACATTTTTCTTTGTGCCAATCCTAGTTCTTAAACTGTGCTAAGACACTGTTTCTGAGGGTTGTTTTGGTTTGGTTTGGTTTTTCTCAAGGCCAGTGCTCTACCACTAGGGCCACAGCTCCACTTCCATCTTTTTTGGTGGTTAATTGGAGATAAGAGTCTCACAGTTTCCAGCCTGGGCTGGCTTTCAGCCACAGCCCTCGGTTCTTAGCCTCCTGAGGAGCAAGGACATGCATGCCACCAGCATCCAGCAAAAATAAAAATTTTTAAGAGGCCCTCACCATGTTGCCAGGTTGCCCCCAAATTTCTGAGCTCGACTAAACCCAACCTCAGCCTCCCAAGTAACTGAGACTATAGGCACACACCAGGTCCGGTGGCTTAGAAAACATAATTTGTATAAACCAGGGCTGTGTGCTTCATTGAATTTTTTCCTTTCACTTGTTTCCACCACCACCCCCAACTTCTAAAGAAACCAGTTTTATCCAAGTTATATTTTCTGTGATTTTCCACATTCGCTGTTAATGATGTACTATGTCCACTAGGAGGCAGAAGTGAGCAACACAAGAATGAAGAGAAATTTTGGTACTCACCGGCACCTGCGCATACAATCTGTAACAGAAAAAGAAAACGGAAGTCAGCAGATTCATTCAGCCACGGAAAATGCAAATCAGAAATACAGCGGTTGAGGATTTAACAATGAGGAAGCAAAAAGGCCAGCTGGCCAGGATTAGGGTTTCTTGGGACATGAAATACAGAGTCCACGGTGAAACATGAGTTAATTACCAAGGACTGACTACAGTTTAGGGAGGCTGTGGGGGCTGATGACTACCAATGCTCTTCCCCAAAGGCACAGGCAGCACTAGAGCAAATCCCTGGGCAAATCCCCACTTCTGTCCAGCATGATGAACGGAAGCATAAGGACACACACTGACAAAAACTGCAGGGGCCAGAAAATATGAAGACGCCAGGATCGGCATGCACCACCGCTCCCTCCTCCCCTGAGCCACAACCAGCTCCCAATTGTGCATGCGTGCAGCCAGGTGTGCCACACTGGGAGAAAGCCACGGGCTTGGGGTGTTCATTGTATAACAGCTCATCTTTCCCTTGCTGTCAGTAGGTGGCAGTAATTTTTTTTTAATCACATGCCCAGCAGCTTTGGGAAGAATAAATGTTTGACACAGAAGAGGTAAGGATTTAGCTGACAGTGTAAACTGTAATCTTTAGACTGGCATGGGAAATACCCTTGAGAATATTCATGGTGATCTCTAAATTATTTCCTCATACTTTAAAAACCCAAAGGAATTCAAAGTTGCTGTTCCATTGTTCAGTACGCACGCGCTGTCAGTGAACTGGATTTTTCAAAGTGTGGTTTTCATGAGGAAGACAATAAGGTGTGTGGAGGAGGAGGGAGTTCTCCACATTTAGAATAAAGTTCCAACCTCCGAACTGGAGCTCACACAGCCCCTCTGGTCTCGGTGTCCCTCATGCTCTTGAAGCTGATTTCTCCTTAGAATCTTTATCCATGTATTTCCTGCTCCCGAAGCATTGTGCTGAGGTCCTTCCCTCCCATAGTCTGCCCAAAATGCTACCTCTTCAGCAAGACCTCTAGTCTGCCATCACCATCTCCTCCAACTACATGAAAGCATCGCCATCTCCTCTGCTACATGAAAGCAGAAACTTGGTCTGGGCCTAGAATAGTGCCTAAAGTAGGTACTCTATGTATGGATGCCACTGAAAGGTAAGAATGAGGCCGGGCGCCAGTGGCTTATTTCTGTGATCCTAGCTACTCAAGAAGCTGAGATCCGAGGATCGCAGGTCAAAGCCAGCCCAGGCAGGAAAGTCTATGAGACTCGAATAACCAGCAAAATGCCAAAATGGAGATGAGGATCAAGTTGTAGAGTACCAGTCATGAGCAAGAAAGCTCAGCAAGGGCACTAAATCTTAAGTTTATGTCCTGCTGCCAGGAAAAAAAAAGAAAAGAAATTATCTAGGTCTGGCCTCAAGCTGTACACAGACAAGTAAGGGAAATAAGACATGTCTGGAGGTTAGTAACTCAAGGTAGAAAGCATTGATAACTGGTTTAACAAGCAATTCCTGAACATCTGCATGGGCCAAGCACTCTGCTAACACACTATGTTCTCAGGAAGAATGACAGGTGGACCACACTCCAGGAGTAACTGGTAACTGATGCCCAGCATCTTCCCAATCTGTGTGTCCGTGTCCTTTGTCTGAGTCACACACTCAACGAACACTCACGTCTGGGGACTACCATGTGGGCCAACACGTCAAAGAGCCCTGAGCTCCAGAGATGAAAGCTCCAGGATTGCATCTTGGAGGAAAAGGCAAATTTCTGGGAGATTAAAATGACAACCTTGAGCTGTATCATTGATGTGTTTAATCAAATGCATGCAGAGCGCTGACTGCTGGCACTGTTCTCCATGTTTTCAAATACTAACTCTTCCAAACTCTCCAGAGGCGTCGCGAAGGACAAGTCCGCTGCACAGCCTGGGTCTGAACCAAGGGCTCAGACGGCAGGGTCCCTGTGCTTCCACACCACTACACTGCCTCCTAAGACAAAAACCTACGACTCAAGGAGAGCCAAATGTTAACTTCCAAAAATACTATATATTATTCCTTTCTCATATCCACGCTCAAAGCTCTACGAGAGATGAGACTGAGTTCCCCCGCCGGACCTTTCCAAGGGCGCTCTTGTGCCAAGCAAACATGCCTGCCTGAGTTCTCAACTCCCTGGGCCTCATTTTCCAAATATGTCAGCACTATCCTCTGAACTTAAGTCCTAAAAGTCCACAAGGTAGCTTTTGATTCCTCACGATCCAAAGGAGATCCATCGGGGAAAAAAAAATACCACCCTGGAGCCTGCCTATGATGCCTGGAGCTACTGCAGTCAGTCTATGAGGTGAGAATGCCCACTGTGAGACAGCTGACAGAGGCCAAAAGACCATACCTGGATTCTTGAGCTCTTATCAACCAACATTAAACCTTTCTACCTCCCAACTTCCTGTCTAGGGAGACAAAACACTCCTTAGTGTTTAACTGCTGTCCTGGCTCATCTATTACTCTTACCAAGAGTACACTACTGGCAAAGCAAGGTAACTAATTTTCACATTAACCCTCACTTTTACTGATGAAGTAACTGAAAGGCTGGTGACTCCTTGTCCAGGATCACAGAGCTGCTCAGTGACAGAAAGAGCAAGGAAGTCCAGAAGCCAGACACCTAGTCTCTCCCAACTACCACAGACAAAGAAAAGCCACTCATATATAACACGTGCAAGACCCCTGACCAAGTGGGCACTTCACCAAGACTTTAAAGGAATACAGTCAACACCAAGCTCATCTTTCCAAACTGAAGTCAGAGACTAACCATGTCTGCAAGTGTGCTGAAGAGGAGACTACCTGTTAGAATTCCCACTCCACGTGGAGAGGAAGTCCTTAGGGACCCCTTCCTAGCACTTGACAGCTAGACATGGCACAAGAGGAGCCTAGGCTCCTCTTCCTCCTAGAGGAGGACGCCAGAGAAACAGTCCATTTTAAGAACAACCTTCCACAATTGGTCTCCACCACTTCCTGGTACCCAGCAGGGAAACAAGCTTAGACCAACCTGGTGTAACACAATCCCCATTCTACAGATAAGGACCCAAGATCACACACCTACCAGCTACTTTGCTCCAGGGACAAGGGGAGAGATGAAAAGAATAGGAAAGTGATGCTTCAGACTGGAGATAAGCCCTTCCTCCTCCACTCTCAACTTCCCTCCTGCTGGAAATGAAACCGGAGAAAGCATACAAAGAAAAAGAGAAGCTCACATCAGGCTTCAAGATTGGTCTCCTCCTTCTGATTCAAGACTAGGAATTCTCCCCTCTGAGTTGAAAGACCCATCCCCTGGCTAGGGCTCAAGGGACACTGAATGTTACAGCCCTGATTTTTTTTTGAGGGGGGGGAGTAATGGGAGAATAGGGAAACAGGTGTCACAGCAACACTGTTCACAATAACCAAGAGTGAGAAAGGACCCCATGTCAATTAACAGATGAAAGGGTAGACTGACTGACTAACTGTGGCATATCTATACAACCCATATGGCCAAGGATTATTTGACCTAAAGAATAAAGCACTGATTCAGCCTACAACAAAGACGAGTCTCCAAAAGATGATGTTAAATGAAAGAAGCCAGACACAGAAGCCCACACTGTGTGAGTTCATTTACATGAAATGTGCAGATCAGGGAACTCCACAGAAAACAATACAGACCAGCATGACTAGGGCTAGCAGGAGGGGAGGGAGGGCTGGCTGCTAATGAATTCAGGGCTTCAGGGTTTGCTGGTTGGTAATCTAAAGAATGTGGAAGTAGATAAAGGTGATGGCTGCACTGCACTACAAGGTCCTCAGTGTCACTGAACTACACACTTGGAAATGGCCCATAATCTCACGAATTAGCACGGGCATACTAATAAGCGCCCCACCTGCATCTATTGTCTCACCAGTCCTAGAGTGTATAAAAAGTATCAATCTTACTGGAGTCAGGCAGAATAAAAGAGCATATGATCTTGAATCAGATCACCTGAGGGCATCGTTCAACACTACCACTTCTAGCTGTGTGTCTTGGGCAGGTGGCTAGCTTACACTGTCCCTAAGTAGCTATAAACAAGAAAATGAGTTTTGAGTGAATGTGAAAGCAAATGATCCCTTTTTAGCTGCTACTGTTACCATCATTCTTAAATCTTCACAGCAGCCCTATAGGGGATTTTTATTCCCATTTCACAGATAACAACACCAAGACTCACATCCTACCAAAAAAAAAAAAAAAGAATGGACAATCTAAAAATCATACTCTCCTGGGCATTTTTATTACAAGTCATTAAAGAGTATAACTCACCTACAGAGACTGTCACTGAGATTCAGAGAGACTAAGTGGATGGTCCTAGTCACACAGCTAGGGAGGAAACACCCAAGCCAGCCGTTAAGCCTCTACTATCTTGGCCTCTCTCACCAGCTTCCCCAGGCCTTTCTCCCGTGGACTGCAGACCTGAATTGGATACTTGTGGTTCACCTCCAAGAATCCCCCTCATAGAGGCCCAAGGCTTCTGCTGGTCCCCATAGCTGGCTGAATGAAAGGAACAAACACTGAGGAGAAATCATTCAGCTGTGCTCAATGTCACCAATGCCATACATACAGCCTGGAGAAGCTGCACCCTCCCTCCAAAGGAGCTAGCATTTCACAACCTCTTCAGGTTGTGCTGATGAGCCAGACCAATCTGAAACGGGTTCCGGCCGCAAGGATCATCCTCCAGGCCTTAGAGAGGCGTGAACTGAGGGCCCCGCTTTCTGTGCCATCCTAATTCAGCCAAAGCTACAACCTTAACTTCATGCTCCAGAACTCAACAACCAAGTCCCTTCTCTGCCTCTGTGTGGAGGCTCCGCTAAGCCTGTCTCCAAGTGGGTGAACCTCTACAACGTCAGACACACATCCTCCTCAGTCACCTAAAAGTGTTTCCTTACCCAGCGTTTCCCTCTTCCTCATTTCCGTGCCGTGGCCAAGTCCTCCAAACCCCTGACCCTCAAGGACAGGAAGAGCTTCCATCCTGAGCTTG